TGAACTTGAAGATATGTTTGGGAAAGTCGTAGAAATGCTGGTTTAAGATCGTTTAGGGGGTCGAATCGAGATTTCGATCTTTTTTCGATTAATCGTGCAGCTCTAGTTGTACGATTATAGTCTGAGGAATAATCACGGTTAATATCTCGATTATTTTGCATTCATTCATTTTATACCACTACTAGTGTAGAAAATCACAAGAAAACTCCTTATATTTTAAAGGGTTATTTATTGTGGCTCAGTAACCAAAGTAATACAGGACAAAACAATTATAAAAACAAGCAATAGTTCATTTCTCTTTTAAAAATAAGTGAAAAAAGTTTTTAGCATTTAAACAAAAGCAACAATTTTATGCTAAAAAATAAAGAACAATGAATAAATAAATAAAAATGGCCCACCATGCAATCTGAGAATGGTTTAGAGATCGTCATTTAAAATTTTATGTGACCTTATATCTGTTTGTTTTATTGTTAAGCTACAAAAAAAGCTATCTGAAACTAAATGTTTTAATGTAACTGGTGTAAATAAATGAGATTTAGTTTAAATTGTACATACGACAGATAGAGGACAATGCAGAGACTCTAGTGAGGGAATCAAGTCAAAGGCAGATTCTGCTTGGCTAGTGTATTCAGCATTGAACTCCACTGTGTTATAAACGTGATTGTTTATCTTTTAATTGCAATAAGTTCTAATTAAAAAAGTAATACTGCATCAGTTAATGCTATTCAAACAAAGTAATGTTTAGGGATGCACGATATATATCGGCGGCCATATCGTTAACGGCCGATAAATCGGCCGATAAAACTCATAATTTTAATATTGATTGGGATGATTTCGTAGGCCAGATAATCTGCATAAATTTAGTTGCATTTTTTTTGTATTCGAACTGTATTCGAGTATAAGTTCAATAATCAAATGCAAGCAAATAAATCTGCATAGTCTTCATTGTATATAAGATAAATGCAATATATTTTCATTGTTATAGTTTCTTGCACACAAATGATTTAAAGGTCTTAAAAACAAATCAAGCAAGCACTCTTTCACTCTATTAAGTTTAAGCTTCACAATCACTCAGCATATAGTTCTTGGTCAGCTATAATTCCACTCAGATTTCCTAAGAGATTCTGAACTTGACATTGCAGATTCTGCGATGTGACTATTGCCAATGATCACATAGCGATATCAGTGAGAGGGTGCTCGCTGCAGAGCCATTTGAGGAGAGCTGAGCTCCAGCAAGGGGGAGCATGAGCTGTCGCTCCTCCTCCTGTAAGCTGTTTTAATGCGTACACCAACCCCACCCCTAACCCTACCCCCAGTGACATCACTCGTAGAAGAAGTGCAAAAAAGGTGGAGCTCAAGCTTAAGCTCCCCCTTGCTGGAGCTCAGCTCTCCTCAAATGGCTCTGCAGCGAGCACCACTTGATATCAGTGCTGAAACGATATATTGTGCAGCCCTAGTGAGTAGTAATTACTAGTAGCCTGGTAGGTATCAAGGTAGCTGTAATGATTAAAGATTAAGGAATTTAGAATATGGCTATACAGTATAGCATGTAATAAATGTCGGGCTCCACAAAATTCTGTCATGCTATCCCAACACTAATCAATTAATTGAAAGTAGATTGAACATAAAACAATTAAGTTGTCCTCCAAAAGAAATTGTAGAATTGTGTTGTTTCAACTCGCTATAAATAAGTAGTTTAAACAAGGAGCATTTTTTTGAGTGTAAGTAATCAATATATGGTTTATAATACTAATAAACAGTCTATAATATGCTAGCATCACTACCAGCAACTAGTTAAAAGTGAGAATTGGTCTCAATACTAAGTTGTTACCGTCTTTAAAATGGATTCATTTTCAAATCATTTATTTGAAATGATTTACTGTGTATCAGTAGTACTTTGCAAACAAGACATTCAGACATTATTTGTAGAAACAAAACTGTAAATATTGAAGAATACAAATCTGTGGACTGTATCAGTAGTGGATTCTTAAAGGTGTCAGTCTGGTGTCTTCATAGTTAGAACTGTGAGGGCAGTTTTTGTCTAACAAGCAAACTCATCCAGAAACGGCTGTAAGCACATTTGGGACATTTGTGTGTTGTTGACACTCGGCTCTTTTGGGTGACACAGCATTTCACATCACCACATGGGACTCCACAATAGCTCTGAGCAGTGCGGTTGGACAACAGCATAGCTGAAGGCTTTTAAGGGTGTGTTTTTATGCGCTTGTTTTATTTGTGTTGCAAAACATGTTTTGTGGGCGTCTTGTAACTTTGTAACACCTCCTTAAAAGATTAATTAGGCAGGCGTTGGAAATATGAAATACTTCAGTCCCCCAATATGGAAAGTTCTAGTGAATTTTTAATGTTTGTTGTTGATTTGATGCAAATGTGAACTTAGTGGGACAACACATTGATAAGTCAATATCCCTAAATACTTGTTTGGTTTGGTTCATTGAGAAATTAATATTCTGTCACAAATTACTTACCTTTTACTTGAGTTTTATTTCCTTCTGCTTGTAATACCCATTTCATCTTCTACTGTATTTCCTCCATTTTACAATACACCGGAATTGTTTCTCAAGTTCAAGAATGCAGAGAAAGGATTGCGTTCTCGTGCACAATGTTCTTGCCAGGTCACCTCAGAAGAACAAACTCGGGAATCTGTGAGAACGGACAATGTGTCCTAGGGCTGCTCGATTTTGGGAAAAATCATAATAACGATTATTTTGGTCATTATTGTAATCACGATTATTCCAAACGATTATTAGTTGTAGTCAAAATTATTAGCACTCCTGAGAATTTTTGTTTTAAAGAAATATTTCCCAAATTATGTTTAACAGAGCAAGGAATTTTAGCAGTATTTCCTCTAATATTTTTTTCTTCTGGAGAAAAGCTTATTTGTTTTGTTTTGGCTAGAATAAAAGCAAATTTAAATATTTTGAAAGCTCTTTTATGGTCAATATTTTTAGCCCCTTTAGGCAATATATATTTTTGATTGTCTGCAGAAGAAACTACTGTTATACAATGAACTGCCTAATTATCCTAATTAAGCCTTTGAATCACACTTTAAATTTGAATGCTTGTATTTAAAAATATCTAGTCTAATGTTGTGCTTTCATCATAGCAAAGATAAAATAAATCAGTTATTAGAAATGAGTTATTAAAACTATTATGTTTAGAAATGTTTTTTTTTTTAAATCTTCTTTCCATTAAACAGAAATTGGGGGGTAAGGGTTGCTAATTTTCAGGAGGGCTAATAACTCTGACTTCAACTGCATTTATACAGTTATTTTCCACCCTGCAAAGGAAAGAGAAATAAATACAATAGAATAAAAATATGAAACAAACTGTGCTTTAAGCATCTTCACTGTAAGAAAAACACTTTAGCTACAAAAGGTAGTACAGTTGTACAGTCATTGCTTTAGACTTGTCTGCTTTTTGACACGCATACTGGGTCACACATCCTAAGTTATAAAGTCTTCACAGTGATTTACATACTTTGCACAGCGACATGGATACCTCCTAATGGTGTTGAAAGAGTCACATACTGTATTTATAAGGTACAATTCACCCTAAAATATCATTGTCTTCATATAATAATGTATTGGTGGCCGCAAAATCACACATGACGTGAGCTGACGGTGAGCTGTTACTACAGAGGGCGGATGATAGACATATCATATGGCGCATATGGCAAGCCGTTTAGCATTTAAACCTTTGTTCTTATTATCCATAAATATATTTAGAGATATCTCTAATTATATTTGACTAGTCATAATTATAATTCGACTAGTCAGAATGACAATTAGAGATATCTGCAATTACAATTGTATTAGTACGAAATCAGATTGGAGATATCTGCAAATATATTATGACTAGTCATATTCCTCCATTGACTTCCATTGAAAAATATTTGCAGATATCTCTAAATGAGTTTTGACTAGTCACAATTGTAATTAGAGATATCTCTAAATGAATTTAATTAAATATGAATTAAATATATTTATGGATAGTCAGAACAAAGGTTTAAATGCTAAAACGGCTTGCCATACACGCGCGTCTGCTTCAGTGAACAGAACCTGCAGGTTGTGACGAACAGGTAATAAAGTAGTAAACAACATTCAGTTTGTGGAACAGAGTGATCTTTCAGGAGCCGCGTGGGAAGTATAAACAGCACTTAGCAGTGGAAATGAAACCGAAAACGTACACATTATTTAAACAATCATATCACATTTTAGAGTTATGATTACGACGAGCATTAACCCTTTTGAGTACAGAGGTACACAAAAATGCACGTCAACAAGATACACTTGATAGCGCCGACATCAGCGACGCCGAAGAAATAGTAAACCTGCCTAAACTGCTGAAAAGAGTCACGACTGTCCTGTGTAATGAAAAGACGGCCACCCTGTCACTCATCATGCCCAACATGAAGACAGCCATCCATAAAAACCTCTCAGACAGGCACACATAAGTTCAGGATTATCTTATAGAACTGCTGATTACGCGGAAATGTGGATTTTTTTTGCACACACAAAAAACGCAAGTGACCAAGCAAAGCCTTAAGCTCTTACTGTTAAATTCAATTGAATAGAAAGCTTATTTTTTTTGCACCTTTACTTAAATTGTTCCTTAATTTTGTCTCTGTCATTTCAATAATATTTTTAAGAAGTTTTTTAATTGTTTTATTTTCCTGAGACAGGCCTGTTTAATTTATTTTCTTAAAGAAGGTTCAGTTTAACAAGTGGAAACAAAAGAAATACATAAAAAATAGTTTACTTGGTAAAATTTGCATTTCAGTTAAATTTTAAATTTTTATTCCAAATATTGTGATGCATATCGAATCGTGAACATTATATCGTGATACACATCGTATCGTGAGCTGAGTGTATCGTTACACCCCTACAAAATACAATTAAAACCAGCCCACCTTCTTGAGCCTGAAAACTCTAGTGTGCAGCCCTTACACAAACTGATTTATCTCCATCTGTCTTTTCTAGTGAGATGTCTCTGGTTTTCCCGCGACCCAATACCAGTGTGATCGGCAAGAAGGACAAGCGACTCATGGCTGAGGTGAACGCATCTCCGCTCAAACACTTCGTCACTGCCAAGAAGAAGATCAACGGCATCTTTGAACAGCTGGGCGCCTACATCAAAGAAAGCTCAGCGTTTCTAGAAGGTCTGCTTTCATTACTCTTGTCAACCTGGTCTCAGAGCTCACTGTTGCCTGCTGTTTAACTGTCAGACTCATCCTGGTTGATCCTGAACTGCATAGCTTAGATAGCAAAGACAGGTTACGTAACAAACAGCTAGACGGCTGTAGGCTCAAGGAAAAGCATGGCTTAGTCAGCTCTTCATGTCTGAAAGGTTTTTTGTCTGTGAGCACTTTAGATTTTCACCCTGCCAGTTGGTTTAGTAGCCAGGACAAATTTTTACTTGATGGATTTTGGTGTTATGTTAAAGCTATGTCAGGGTATCCGCAGGGACTTAAAAAGTCTTAGATTAAAAAAACAACAACATTTTAGTCCTAAAAAGTCTTAAATTCACTGAAATATTTAGTTGTAGGTGTAAGGTTAGTCCAACGCCGGTGTCTGCTGGTTGATGAATGTTCACTCGTGCTCGGACTTTCCAGTGCACAATGTTGCTTTAGTTTAAATTTGACTTGTATCTGACTTTAAATATGAGGTGGTTTTTGGCTATTAATATCTTTATCTTTTGTTTTATCTGACTCCAGTCATAAAACTAATTAATTTTAAGAAAAATTAATTAAATTAAAATTAAGAAGATTATATCAATATATAATTTAGAACCTTTGTTTGAACCTTTTGTCTTTACCTGTAACTATTACATTTGTTCATGTGGGTGCTCATGTCAGTCGGAGGAATCGTCTCAGCCGGTGGTGTCAATTATGGTCACACTCTTGTCAGTCTTGATTATTAAAGGGTCATGAAACCCCCTCGTTTCAGCAGGGTGTTTTCACACCTCTACTTTGGAAAAAGTCAGAAAAGTGGGCGTGTCCAGCTCTGTTTAGGGGGAGTGTCGGAGGAACTAAATTGGGAGGCTGTGGGAGTGTCTATTTAGGCACGCGCGAGTTTCAGTCAAAATACACACAGGAGAAAGGGATGGTGTTTAACCTACATGGACATCTGTAGTCGAATTATTTGCCAAATTATTAAATGTTGGACTTTAACTGCAGTTTGGCTCTTTCATTCAGGGAATTCATTCATGCCCCTTGCGACAAACGAGATATTTGATCCGAGGAACTGCTCTAAGTGTGTATTTTTCATGCAGTGTTTGATACCGCACGTCAGAAAGCCGCGTGTGTTATTCCGGTCACAAAATGCGGTGAAAATCCTACACGAGGTTAACGTTTGTTTGTGGTGCTAACATGTTTACACTCGGTGCAATAGTTAACTTAATTCGATACGAGCAAACTGAATAAACAAAGAGCACTGGTCGCCCACTTACCAAATCTGTAGAGACAGGACAATTCCCAGCAACTAGAGCCACGGTTTTATAAAGAGAATACTACAAGCGAATCCGGATCTCAGCGTTTGCAGATGAGAACAGCACTCAGGTAAACAATAATCCTCCTTAGACACGTAAGTTATTGTTGTCGAGCGTCGCGTACACTGTTAATCCACACGTGACTCCAGATGAGCTCTCACAGAGAGAAAATGAAAACGAAACTTAACTGCAGCAAACTATAAAAGCAACACTTAACGCTTTTTTTGCCAACACAACGTGGCGTCTCTGTGGTGTAAACACGGTGACACTAATGAATATTATTGAAGTTGCACAATAGAGCGCGCTGATTGGTTTGAACCAAGCCTTACTCATGCATTAATGTATCACACTGTAAGACGTAATAAGACTCACTCTGGCACAGACGTCCAGTCTGCACGCTGGAATACAACGCTATTATGTCATGACCGAGACGCAGCTTCAAAAATTAGTTTCAAACAGGAAGTACGAATTTGCTTGAAATAACGCAAAAACAACCAATTTACACTTTTTAGTGAAATATAGGTGTCCTAATAGTGTTTTTAGCAGTGTGGGACACATATACGACTGTCAACAGCTCAAAAAAATGTGTTTTGGTGTTTCGTGACCATTCGAGGAAATGTCAAAGTAAAGCTGTACAGGTCGTTCATATATCATATGAGAAGCTTTATACACATAAATACTGTATAAATATTTATTACTAACTTTCTATAATTGATATGATATTTTCTCACTTGATGTATTGCATTACATCTTGGTCACAAGCCTCTTTAACTACATTGAAGCCTATTGACTCAATCTATAAACAAGCAGTTAAAATTATGGACTTAAAGCCTATGCGATGGCATCATTGTGATGTTTTATGTAAACATAACCTGTTTAATTTTGATAGTTTAATTCAATTTAGTTATCTTAAATTGGTTTTTAAATGTTTAAATAATCATGTTCCAATCCTGTTTTCTAAGCTAATCAATCGGCATCAAACCTCCCACAGAGTTACACGGGCAACTGCTAACGGTGACTGTCTAGTGCCAAAGTGTAAGACCTCGTTTGGTCAATCTGTCTTCTCTGTAAAGGGAGCCAAACTGTGGAATGATTTACCGATTAGCTTAAAATCAGAAAGTAATTTAAATATTTTAAGTAGTGCTCTTAATAAGTGGTTAAAAACAAAACAGCAGTGTTTGCACAAATAGTCTACTGTTAGTTGGTTGGATCATGTCGCCTTTGCTTTTGCCTGCAGTAATTTTATGTAAAGAATTGTAATGTTTTGTATGTTTTATTATATTTCTATTTTGTCAATTTTAAGCCTCCTGTGGACAGGTGTTGAAAATTTGCAAGTTTGCTAAAACACTTAAACAAATGCATTTGGTTGTCCAGTGTAATTGTGATGTCCATGTCAAATAAATAAATAAATAAATAAAAATATAAACATGATTTGATTATGACTGCAGATCAATAATGAAATAGCCTACTGTAACGTCTGCAATTATATAAGAATAAATAAATAAATGCAACATATATGTTATAAATTATAGAAAAACTACACACAGCACACATTTAGTCCTTTTTTGGGTTCAAAAACAACACGCAACATATAGCCCACAGTCAGAGCAAACTTCTCATCCGTATCTTTAATCTTCACCAGCACATGTAACCTCTGTTAGAGAGTCATTTCATCATTCTGAGTTCATAATAGTCCAAAAGGCGATGATAAACATGGCAGTTTGTTCATGATTCAGGTTCAAAGGAGCAACAATTTGCTCCTTTGTTTTGTCGGGCTTCTCCTAAGTTATTCCGCGCTTCTAGAATAGACTTTAAACAATGAATTGAAACATTATTAGCTGTATGTGTGAGAAGAAATTCAATGCCCGTTTTCCCTTTAACAGAAACCTACAGCAATGAAGAGCTGGATCCTGTTACCACAGAGGAGCAGGTGGCGGAGGTGCGGGGATACCTGTCCAAAGTGGCAGGGATTGGTGAAGTCCTGTCCCGAAGACACATGAAAGTGGTCTTCTTTGGCAGGTACGGTGCATAGATTTTGCCCCTCACAGAATAAACGCAAACATATGTCAAAATCAGCACTAAATCATAAAGTCTATCTCAGTTTTTATGCAGACTCTAGGCTATGGACACTGTGCACCTGTGGTACATTTGACATCAGCAAATTATCTGCACAGACAGATTTTTCATTTCTTTTATGCTCAGCTAAAAGTACTGGAATAAATAAAATGTAGTGCTGTACACCTAATTGTGATGTTTACTAGTGCCTGTGAATAATAAACTGTAGAAGATGTCAGAGAAACATGTTAAAATCATATATGCACAGAACCATAAAGAAAAGTCAAATAAGTGGTTAAATTGAAATAAATTGAAAAACACTTTCACCGTCTGATAATATTTTTTCTTCTGGAGAAAGTCTTATTAGCTTTATTTTTGCTAGAATAAAAGCAGTTTTTAATTAAAAAAACATTTTAAGGTCAAAATTATTAGCCCCTTTATGCTATATTTTTTTTCTCGATTGTCTACAGAACAAACCATCATTATACAATAACTTGCCTAATTACCTTAACCTGCCTAGTTAATTTAATTAACCTAGTTAAGCCTTTAAATGTCACTTTAAGCTGTATAGAAGTGTCTTGAAAAATATCTAGCTAAATATTATTTACTGTCATCATGGTAAAGATAAAATAAATCAGTTATTAGTGATGAGTTATTAAAACTATTCTGTTTAGAAAAAATCTTCTCTCGGTTAATTGGGGAAAAAAATAAACAGGGGGGCTAATTGTTCTGACTTCAACGGTATTTCTATTGTTCAGCAAATTGTACACAATTTTTAATCATTTATAATAGTGTAAAGGAGGCCAGCTAGAGGCTATGGTGTTTAGCCTCCTTGTTAGAGCAACCGCCTCCCATGCAAAGAATCGTTAGTTCGATCCCAGCTCAGACCGGGTTGGGTGCAGTAAGATCGGTGGGTTATACATGGGGGCTCGTCCGGGATGGGAATGAGGTTTAGGGGGGTGAGTGTAACTGAGGCCAGCTAGCAAAGTGCTATGCAGGTACACCTCACTCCTCTGACCTCAAAAGGTGCTCTAGTGACAGATGCTAAAGACCATGGTCTTTATCCTCCTTGTTAGAGCAACCGGCTTCCATGCAAAGAATCAATGGTTCGATCCCAGCCCAGACCAGGTTGGGTACAGTAAAAATGGTGGGTTATATGTGGGGGCTTGTCCGGGATAGAAGTGAAGTTTAGGGGGTTGGGTGTAACGGAGGCCCGCTAGCAAAGTGCTATGCAGGTAAACCTCACTCCTCTGACCTCAAAAAGGTGCTCTAGTAACAGATGCTAGTGGCCATGGTCGTTAGAGCAACCGGCTCTAAAGCAAAGAATTGCTGGTTCGATTCCAGCTCAGACTGGGTTGGGTACAGTTAAAACTGTGGGTTATATGTGGGGGCTCGTCTGGGATGGGATTAAGGTTTAGGGGGGTGAGTGTAATGGAGGCCAGCTAGCAAAGTGCTACGCAGGTAAACCTCATTCCTATGACCTCAAAAATGTGCTCTAGTGACAGATGCTAGAGGCCATGGTCTTTAGCCTCCTTGTTAAAGCAACTGACTCCCATGCAAGGAATCATCAGTTCAATCCCAGCTCAGACCGGGTTGGGTGCAGTAGGGGCGGTGGGTTAAAATAATAATTGTTATTATGAATTATTTAAAGAAATGGTTTACATTTGATTTTCTTCTAAGCTTATTTCAAAGGGTTCCTACAAATTTCAATTAATTAAAAATATAGTTAAAAACCATTGATGAAAAATTCGGACAATTTAATAGGGGCCTACTAAAGATTCTGGTGTGCTTCTTTTCCCGTGTTCTACTCCTCCCATTGCACAGCTGAGCGAGCAACCATTTCAATTACACTCAACAATAAGCATGGATGGATGCATTCAGTATTCATACTACCTTGTGGACATTTGTTCCATTCAAATCACTCGCACGAATCCACACAGACACAAAACTAAGTCCTGCATGCGGGCGGGTGAACAGCTAATATTTGATGTAACGGGTGGAATAATTATTCACATGTCATTTCCGGTTCTGGGTTGGTAATAAACAGGCGCGAGCGGAATGTTGGTCCAGTAGTCAATCAGTGTGCAGCATTGTAGGCAATCGTGTGGCAACTGATGGACAGTGAGCACACAACTCTATGCTCTAATCACAACTTGAATAAAGATTTAAGCTCATCATGGGTCTCTTTCCTGCATTACACTTAAGCTTTGATGGCAGCTTACCTTCTAGCATATTGTTGAGCTTCGAGAGAGACAACCAAGAGTGCTCCAATATTGTTAACTATAGTAGCAAGTGACATTGCTTGTGTATTTTGCTGTATCTGAAAAATATATATATTTTATCAGCGTATGCTAGTTCTATTCTTGCCATCCCGTTCCTCGCATCAAGCACCGCAAGCAAGAGAGACTTCTGTGTTTGATTTAAAATTTGCAACAAAGTCAGCTGAAACCATTAACATTTGATGAGTGTGGTTCGGGTCGCGGTGTGTGTCAAACTGCTAGGGTCGGGTATGGAATGATATGAGTGGTGCTGTCCGGGTGACTGATCGGGTGTTTTTTTAATTATTGCATGTGTGGGTTTACCAAAAAGGACCAGTGCAGTGCTTCAAATCGACCATGCTGATTACAAATAACATCTCGTGAATTGTCTGAAGGCCTGAGTGGAAAGCACACCCAAAAGGAAACTAAACTAAAGCATAATTTGAGTTCATAAGTTGCATCGTTTGCATTTATAGGACCAGTAACGGAAAGAGCTCCGTCATTAATGCCATGCTTTGGGATAAAGTGTTGCCGTCTGGAATCGGACACACCACCAACTGCTTCCTGCGAGTGGAAGGCACTGATGGCAATGAGTCTTTCCTGCTCACTGAAGGGTCGGACGAAAGGAAGAGTGTTAAGGTACAAGTTTACTATTATATGTTCGAATGTCATTCCAAAGTGATTATGAAAGCAGATCCCTCTTGTTTGAGTCTTTGGGTGTGTTTGACATGTTGAGTCAGATTAGACCAATGCTCTGGGATCGGGAATGGAAACTGGATCTCTTGCGTAACACAGTGCGTCTCTCCATAGCAACCACAAATGAGCTTTGCACTGTAGGTGTTAATGAGGGTGTGTGATCCTATCATCCTCTCCCTGTAGAGCTACACTTGTGCTCTTAAATTTTTTTAGGAACAGAAACCAAGATTTTAGCCATGTATTGGCAGGAAAAAAGTTGACTAAGCTGAAACCATATTCTGATTAAATGTACATACTGTGCTTTCTCTGATTAATCGTGATTAATCCCTGACTAATCTCTGATTCTCAAAATTTAAAGGTGCCGTAAATACTGCTTTGTTTTAACAAGTAAATTGTTCTCTTATATCTACATAATAGGTTTGGGGCTTAGGTAAGAAAACAGAAACGGTTTTATATGATAATTTAATGCCCCATAAAATACTTCTAGTATCTGAGGGTCCTTATTGACCATATTTGGAACAGTCATGAATATTAATGAGCTCTGCTCTGAAGCACAGCTATACCTGCTCCCACTTTAACTCTCTCACTCGCACATATACACACGCACATCATGATGTACACTGAAATAAACAGGTGCAAAATAATCATACTTCATTTGTCAAAAAGTTTCAACAAACAGAGTAGATGTCTAGTTAAATCATTTTTACTTAAGTGGTGGAGGTTTATTTTGCCTACATGGTGTGAGTGAGCTATATATAGTGCTCAGCATAATTGAGTACACCCCATTTTGAAAATGAATATTTTTATCCATTTCTCAGTAAATATAGGAAATTGATTTGGGGCATTTGAACAGATATATTTATTAAAATAATATTTTAGTCACCAAAAATATTTAGAAATTGAAAGATGATTCAATTAAATTCAGGCTAAATATTGCATAAAATTTATATACAACCTACAAAATCAAAACAATTTTTTGCTTCTCATGATTTTTTCTCTTTTAAAAAATTGTATTTAATATTTTTCTATCGCATAAATTTGGATGAACTAGTTTTTGGACTGTTATCGTAAGTTATTTTGTTAGATAAGCTCCAGATTTAGTTTTAGTACTGACTAATCTTATACATATATATATATAGGCATATATATGAATAGGCAGTGATCTGTGTCGTTATAATGGCGTCGGTAAAAAAGACGCACAACCAACAGGAACCAGCCAACAGTATCTGTGTGAGCTAAAATGACTAAGTACAAGTGAGTGAAAGATTGAAGCAGTCTACTGATCCTCTGACTGCCTGGACCTGCTGTCTCGAGCCCATGGCTGTGTGTGTGCTTCTGTGTGTGTGTGTGTGTCAGAGGTAGTGAGGAAGGAGGGCTGCTCAGAAATGCTACACGCCACTGTGGATGTCAAATCACTGTCCTTCTAAAATGCCATTTAAAAACAAAGACAGTGTAAACAGGGCCTGAGTGTGTACTTTTCGCGAGCGGATTTGCAATGGGGGCGGGCGGAGGATCGCGATGCCGGTGTTGTCTATCGGACGAACCCTAATACGCACATAGCAGAGCTTGCAAAACTGTGTTTTTTTTTTTGTCTACAACACGAACGTTGTCAACATAACTCACTGGAAATCCAAAATGCTTACACACCGGCGACTTCATTGAAAGAGGAGAGGGTTTAAGTTCTGTCGACGGGTCTCCTGTATCTGCAGTTCAACAAGCACTTCAACAAGCCTGTTTTTTCCCGCTTGGCAAGCCAAGCTGACGTGACATGGGGGCGTGGCAGCATCGACGATTCTATTTTTTGATTCAATAATCGAAATTGAGCATAAATTTCAATGCCTTTTGACACCCCTTATATATATATATATATATATATATATATATATATATATATATATATATATATATATATATATATATATATATATATATTCAAAAGCTAGATTTCTGAGCACAGTATATCACCAGAGTAAAGAGTAATTTTGCTCCCGAGCGTAGTTGTGGATGAAATATAGGTTTAATTATAATTAAACTTGACAAAAGAGACTTATTGTATTTTGAAGTTGTAATATAAATGTAAATTCAGCCAGGAATTAAAATCAATCTCTGCATAAACTGATGATGTTGAATTGTAGTTGAAGTGTATTGCTGTTCTTTCTCTTCAGAATAATGATAGCAAGAGCTGAGTGACAAGACACAATGCTTAAACTCTACATTCCTCATTACAAATGCAGCAAATTTCACAAAAGAAATGATGACTTAGTAAAAAATATTAATATACGTATATTATGGCTAGGGCCAGACAGAATCTGCATACATTTTTTACTATTTCTGTGCAGAATTTTGTAAAAGATTTGTGGAATGATTTTAGTATTACCATGATTGAAAACCAATTAGATCCACTAAATAGGTAAACAAAGCAAGTCTCTTATATAGTATATCTATTAAAAGACAATACTTTGCTAACTGTATTGTATTAGTTTATAATATTACTGAAACTAATTAAACTGAATGAATATAAATTTACACACATTTACACAACTAAATAAATAATGATGGGCTAATATCTAATAATAATAAAACATAATAATGACTCAAAGATGGTCTAGAAATCTGTGGATTTCTACCAAACGCTGGTAGAGTCGTTGCTTACTAACGTATAGAAAAAACATCTGAATCTCCTGCTTTCAAAATCATGAGACCCACATGCATGCCAAGTTTAAAACTTAAAAATTTGTGAGGAAAATGATCATTGTTGTACTCTCACTAGGGAATGTTGTGGCCAATCGAAAAGCCATGCATGCATATTAATGTTCCCAAGTGCAATACATCAGTCTATGTTTTGGATGTCTATCTTCTGATGACTTAGGCCCCGTTTACACTAATGTGTTTTAGTTTTTAGTTTTCCAGAGTTTTCGAGCGCCAAAAACGGAGTGTTTTGGAAACGCTTGAGAGGCCGTTTTCATTCTAAAACGCTGCTGCTCTGTCTCAGTGTGGATGAGGGAAAACGGAGACATCTGAAAACAGAGGCGGGGCTGCCGAGATTCGCTAGCTGATTGGGGCTTTTGTGTCATTGCGTATCCTTCCCTTATTCGTCAAGCCCCTATCACATGACTATAACACATGGCTTTAACGCTACCGGAAGACAACAGACCAGCCTTCACTGTAAACAACAACATGGACACTGAAATGGGAGCTTTGTTTGCACTATTGTCTGTTTTAGGCGTCATTGTGCAGTTAAAGTCTGCCTTTTTTACTACAGCAGCCGTATATATTCGCTAGAATGGTCACGTGATAAACGTTTTTGGTGGCATTGTGTGGACGGAGATATGTTTAGAGACGCTGGGTGAAACGCTAGTCGGATCGTTTTTGATCTAAAACGTCGTTTTCAAACTAAAACGCACTAGTGTAAACGGGGCCTCAGCTGCTCATCAGTTCCAACTGACGTGGATTGTGACCTAAAGTACATGCAAATGTTGAGAGGATGCTAATTATAATCCTGTGAGCACTGCAACAGTCTGTATTGTGTCCTAATTGGGCTGTTTGTGACAGAGGTTTTACCCTTGCGTAATTGACATGAGAACGAGGAAACAACAGTGTTTTAGCCTCACAGTATAGCCATATACTAAGATACACCCTCAAATAGATTGTTCAAAATAAAACTTGCTTATTGTTTATTTGCCCTTAGGTGCTTTTAAACCTCGATGAGTTTCTTTTTTTTCTGCCGAGAATACTCTAAATGTTTGTGGCTGGTATTAATTACTGTCCAACTAACAGAATTTTGGGATTAAGATACTTGAAGGATGACAAACGGACATAAACTACTTCAATACATTCTATTCCCCACAAGAACTGTGGTCAAGCTTATGTATTTTCTATTGCAACAATCTAATGCATTCGCAAGCCCCCCAGTCACTCTTGACCCCAATACAGTCAAATCTAACAGATCATACAGTGCTATATTAAATTGGTGAACATTGAGCATTTTACATTGACTTCTGTGACATGCAATAAGGCAGGAAGGTGTGTTATCTAATGCCTGTGCTAAATGAAGATCTCTGGCTTTTGGCTGACTGTACGGAAGATCCGATCTATAATTACTCACATGAGTCAGGGTCTTTTTTTCTGCCAGCTGTCACACGGTTGCACGTTTTTGTCATTTAGACTCGTCTCATGACCTTTTCTCTGCACTGATTGCTTACAGGGCTGAAAGAACATGTTCACGCTACACTTAAAAGCATGTCATCTACTGTAAAGGAATGCTGGGAATGAGCATGTCAGTTTACTTGTTAGTTTATCTGCAGGTATGCGCGAAAAAATATGAGATGAGGTTTATTTGTATTAATGCTTGAATCAAAATGCTTCTAACTGCGAGTTTGAAATGAGCGTGACATTTATTGATGCAGCCTCATGGAGTAAAAGTCAAGAAACAAACATCGGCTCGTACATTTGCACCATTATAGATTGAAAAATGTCAGGAGCTTAAAGTACATGTTTTCATCCATTTTATTTGAATATTAGGATTTACAGGAAAAAAATGCACACTTAAACAGGCTTCTGTTTTGTAAAACCGTAAATTTATGTAATTGTGTCCCATTTATAAGCTGAATGCATATGAACGTAATGTAAGAATAACTTTTTTTAAGTACTGTAAACTGTAGATTATTATTATTAGGTATAATATTTCTATGTTTTACAATTGGGCTTTTTTATGTAAACCAAATCAAACCAGAAATTGTGTCTACAGAACCATGATACAAACCCAGCTGACAATTTTGTGAACTGTCCCACCCCTACAAGTTACTAAAAGTTGCAAAAATTGTGGTGTAACTGATGACAGCTGATCCGTGATTCCTACAAATCACAACCCACGGTTCGGAACAGACATGACCTGCGGATTAGGCTAATAGTAATAATAATAATAATAATATATATATATATATATATATATATATATATACACACACGCACACGCGCATGTGTGTGTGTGTGTGTGTGTCTGTGTGTGTATATATATATATATATATATTATGTATATATATATATTGATATGTGTGTATATATATATATATTGATATGTATATATATATATATATATTGATATGTATATGTATATATATATATATTGATATGTATATGTATATATATATATATTGATATGTATATGTATATATATATTGATATGTATATGTATATATATATGCACACTTTCCAGTAAAATATAATGATGACTGAAGAAGTTGTGGTAGGTTATTTGGGATGTGATGGATTCTTAAGTTATTAAAGGTGTTTCTGTCACTACTTGTTTAGCCTGCATTAATGCATTCAGTGTAAGCTGCACGATTAATCATTAAAAGATCATGCTCTCAACACCCACGCAACATAAATGATAAATGAGGGTGATTTGCATATGTTTATTAATCCTTTAAAAGGCAAGAATGAAGAAAGAGAATTAGTTTTCAGTCTTTTTGATGAAGTTATGAAGTAAAATAACACACAAATACTAGGATAACAGTTTATAGTTTAGTTAAACCACTGATGTTTATGGTAAAGATTAAAATCACCATCGTATGCGTTCAACTTGACGTCCCAAAATTAAAGTTGTAGGCAGCAATTACATTATTTAACCAATAGGTGGCGACAACCAGCCATCAAAAATATGCCACTGAATAATTCTTCAAAATTAATCCTTCTAGCAATGAAACATGAAGATTTATAAGTGAATAACTGAATCATTTATAGAAAATGAGACTAAAAATAAATATGGGTTCTACCAATTATTATGTTAGATTTCTACATTTACCATTATCAGCAAAAATAGTAGTAATAATGAACTTTTCACAGTACTTATTTATTTTTTTTTTTACAATGTATTGGTATTCAGCTGAGTATTTCTTAATTTTATTTTTTTAAAGAAATTACAGCTTCTAAGTTCTGTTTGTTAAAACCAGACATTTCCTGCAGTACTGTTTTTTTTTATTTTTTTTTTTATAAATGGAAAGCAAATTTCATTTGTCTCCTTCCTATTTTGGCTGATCCAAAAAATGGTTTGATCCCTGACTTAAAAAAACCACAATGTGATGCGAACCCTAAGATTTGTGATCCATTATACCACTACGATTAAACAAAACGGCTTGTCTGAGCTTTAGATCTGAACTTGATATTGATAAACACTTTCATTTTACAATAGTCAACAGTTAAATATAACCTACTGAAATCATATAACCTAGCAGAATTCAAGATGCTTTGAGTATTTGTGTGCTCTCCAGGATGTGGGGGACGGTCCTTTTAATGCTTTCCCCATTGCCTCTGTGTGATGGAGGCCATTTCCGTCCTGCCTGACTGCATGTACACACGATGATGACATAAACAAATGCACACCATCCCCAAGAGTGGGCCAAAGGTTATACGGTTCCCTCTGCCAAGTCTTTATTGCTTTGTATCTTTTACTCTCTGGTTTACTCTTGCACCAGATGATTGCGCAGCTCTTTACATGGAGAACATTACACCTCTACCAATTTGTAGCCCACAATTTTTTAGCAACGGAATGCAATAAAATCCTATTTTTAATTTAATTATATGCTTTAAGTCCGGTTTAATATGGTATTAGTCTGGTGTCGTCTTAAGTTGAGTCTATGGTGAGCTTCATTTTAGTTTTTTTGCAGGCTAAATAATAGATTTTATTTTTACTTTGAACCCTGCATTTTTCTTCTCCATTGGTTCATAAAGTGGAATTAGTTTTCCAATAAGGTGTGCAAGTACAAACACTTACAGGAAGTGATGTCACTTCCACTGATTGTTACAAAACTGGTCAGCTATTCATACCCAAAATGAAAAATGTACTGTATAGGGGGCAAAAAAGAAGATCAAAATAATACAAAACATAGGGCTGGGCGATATTGTAAAAATATGATCACAGTTTCATGTTTCATGTCATTAGGTATCAATAATTATTGAATATTTTTTTAAATAATCTATTTAGGAATATTAGGATTTTTCATTTAATCAACCAATTTGTTTTAGTTTAACAATATTACTCAGGCAAATAAATGTAATAGTCAAAAACAAAAATATTGAAACAAAACATCTGATCTCTTTATAATAAAATAAACATAAGCGTTAAAGAGACTCTTAAACTTGATAAATAAAATGGTACAAAGTGTGTGCAGTGGTAAAGGTAGATCAACATCTGTAAGGTGTCAATAATGATGATACATTAAACTAGAACCTTGTAAACAAAACAAATTATGATAATATGGCACTAGATATGGAAACTAGAATTGTAAGCTTTCAAATTATATGTCATTTTTCATGATTGATTTTAAACCCTCAAAAAAAGTTGGGAGAGTATGAAAAGCGCAAATAAAAAAGAAAGTAGTGATTTCTAAATTTACTTTGACTTGTGTTTCATTGCAGACAATATGAACACTAAACATTTCTGACTGTCGATCAGACCTGCAACGCTTCCAAAAAAATTGGAAAAAGGAGCAATTTAGGACTAGTAATCAGGTCAGCTGGTTAAAAGTAATGTGATTTTGAAACGGGTGATTTCAACAGGTGATTGTAATTATGATTTGGTACAAAAGCAGCATCCAAGAAATTTCTAGTCCTTTAGGAGCAAAGGTGAGCTGAGGGTTTTCGGTTTTGCACCATTAATGCTGAAAAGTACATAGAGATTTTGGAGCACAATATATTGCTATCTTTTATATGCCATGCATATTTCAACAAGAACTTGCAAAACCATTTGTACTTGCCTTGACTGCAGGTACTATATAGTACTGATGGTAGTATAAAGACCTATATTCACAATTTCAGATAAATCAGCATGCCACAAATTATTTTCTGTTCTTCTCATAGCAAATGAATATAGCAACTTCGCAAAGCAACTCGACAGTTGCATAAAAATAATAGGTTAACAAAATGAAGTTTAATTAACAAAGTTTAAAAATATACATTTTAAGTAAAATGAAAAAACTGAGGACTGAAACCAGCTTAAATGTTCTTGAATAAAACGTGATACATGCATTTTTCAACGAGACCTTTCAAAACCACTTGTACTTGACTTGACTGCAGGTACTTGACTGGCCTGCCTGCAGTCCTGACCTTTCTCTAGTAGAGAATGTGTGACACATTTTTAAGCCCAAAATGCGACAACAAATACCCCGTACTGTTGCCCACCTTAAGACTTGTTTGCGGGAAGTATAGGACAGAATTACACCTGAAGCACTTCTTCGCTTGGCGTCTTCAGTCGCTAAACGTCGTTTAAGTGTTGCAAAAAGGAATGGCAACATTACAAAGTGTTAAAAGCTTTACTGTTCCATCTTTTTTTATTGTGTTGCAAGAACCAAAATTGTAATACGTGTTCATTTTGAGGAAAAAAAATTATAAAAATCATGAGGAACACATTAAATAATGTTTGTTGTATTGTCTGCAATTAAATACAATTCAAAGTAAACTTAAAAATCAGTACTTTTTATTTGTGTTTTTCATACAGTGCCTGTTTTTCATACATTTTCTGATTTGGTGTTGTTTGTTTTGACTATAAAATTATATTTTAACAGTGTAACCGTTGTAGGTTACAGGGACCTATAGTAGGGAATGTATTACTCTTCCTGTGTAACAAAAAACTGTCACAAAATACGTATTTAGACACTCCTAATAGCTCAAGGAGAGTCTGATCTCTGTTTTTGGCGAACTTCTTTGCATGTGACTTCTACACATTACATTTGTTTATTTGAAAAGATCAATTAAAATCACGTTTTCCACGAGAGGACTGCTTTAATTCCAGGTACTTAATCTGATTAAAACTGTGGTAATGCTAATACGTGTGTGTGTGTTTTGGCAGACGGTGAACCAGTTGGCACATGCTTTACATCAGGATGAGGATTTGGATGCTGGCAGCCTGGTGTGTGTCATGTGGCCCAAAGCAAAGTGTGCGCTGCTGCGTGATGACCTGGTACTTGTGGACAGGTAAACACACACACACACACACACACACACACACACACTTGCGTTGCCTGGCTGTAACGTTGGAGGCAAGCTGAAATACTTTATTATTAGGAAGGATTGCTTGTCATTTAACATCGAATCAAACAGTGTAATTCTTTTGTAATTGCATTTGTTTGCATATTTTATTTATTTTAATATTTGGAAAATCTGTGTGTATTTATATTCACGTTTTAATTTTAATGTAAAGGTTAACGTACAACTGCATTGTAAGTCTACTGCATTATAAGATCAATTTACTGCATCAAAATTTTATTAGTATTCTCTTTCAGCCTAAAACTTGCATATCTTTTCTTCATCCAGCCCTGGTATTGATGTCACAACAGAGCTGGACAGCTGGATCGACAAATTCTGCCTCGATGCTGACGTTTTTGTGCTGGTGGCCAATTCAGAGTCCACTTTAATGCAAACAGTGAGTTAGCTCTTTATTCTGTGATAAACACTTATGAAATGTGGGAGCAGAAGCTTTTTTATAGCGTTTTACAGCGTTTTGTATATTACATCATTGTGGACACCGATGAACTGCAATAGTATATACACTCATTTAATCTGCATTTATAATAATTTGTCTTGTTAAGTGTTTGTCCTTGTAAAGGCAGGCTTACACGGTGCAAATTGTAATTGTGAGACAAATCTGATGCTTGTATTTGCACCAGCTCCATATCCACAAATTCACTCATTAGGTTAAATTAGGCTTTAGTTTTTAGTCTATTACTTCTATTGTATCTGTTCAGCCGAGGGAATGGAACCAACCTTGTGACATCAGACTCAGTGAAATTCCAAGATGGTGGCACCCTAGGTCTAAAAGCTATAGTAAAACATGCTGTTTACTTCTAAATAATTACATTAATCGAGTTTGTTTATATATTTTTATTAAAGTGGAATCCAATGAACAAAATAAGGTAAACTTGAGTGTTCATTTCCCCTTTTAAAGGTCCTGTGAAATTAAGTTTTTTAGATATTCATTTTTAGGATAAAAAATAGCTAGTGCACTCCAAAACAGTAACAAAAATAAAGTTTAGACAATATAAACTGATATAAACATCCAAACCTCAAACTTTAGTTTCTCATCAAGTCTTGACCAATCAACTGCTCTCTCGTATCTGACATGCCCCGCCCCCTTCAAGATGCTTTACATTTGATGCACTTGAGCTCAACCGAGGCAAAGCTGGGATTAAACAAAACACTATTGGCTGTTTTTTTAAAAGGGGAGGAGCTGTTCATTTTTCAGTTGAGATTACTTCAAACTTAGAATAAACAATGCACATTTCAATGCACTTCATGGGACTGTTGAGGTTGTTACAAATTTTAAAACGCGTTATCATCATGTGACTTTACTGGTGTCAGTCAACGTATTAAAACATGATTCTCCTCTTTTAAAGGAAAAATCTTTTTTTCACAAAGTAAACGAACGCCTCTCCAGCCCTAATATCTTCATCCTGAACAACCGCTGGGACGCATCGGCCAATGAGCCAGAGTACATGGAAGAGGTGAGGAATCACATGACACCACACACAACACCTTAAAGATGCATTTGAATCTGCAAAAACGAATAGTGGAAGCATAACTTTAAAGCAAACTAGTTGAACCTTTTAGATGATATGGAGTTTTTGCTCTCTTATGATGTTTTGTCAGGTGAGGCGGCAGCACATGGACCGCTGCACTAGTTTTTTAGTGGATGAGCTGCGGGTGGTGGATCGCTCTCATGCCGGGGATCGAATCTTCTTTGTCTCTGCTAAAGAAGTTCTTCAGGCGCGTGTACAGAAGGCCCAGGGAATGCCTGAAGCAGGTAGATTTAGTCTCAAATGATGTTTAAATGCTAAGATGTTATGTATTTTTAATTGTTTTATTTTGTTCATTTAATTGTCTATTTAATTGTTTAAAATTATTATTATTATTTTTTAATATTGTTGCAGAATGAATGTCACCAGGGCTTAACACTTGCCAATTGCGGGTAGATTTCAGCTTTGGCGGGTTAGAAAGTCACTCCCACTAGCCACTTTGGCAGGTTGAAAATATTTTTTTAATTGTGGTTTTCTTAAAAGCAGAATTCGACAATAAGGATGACCCAATATGCGTGCAAATGGGATAACAGAAATAATTGCTTTCGCACGAGCAATAGAAAGCAGGTGGATACCGAATGAGAGGATGATCAGTCGCGCAAACAGCTGATGTGATGCGCGCGACTGTTTAAAGCACGTTCGCGCTCCTGTTTCCTTGCTTGAAGCAACCGTGTCTGGAAATTACTGTATGCATGGTATTAATGCAATTATACAGATTAATTTATGTAATTATGCATGAAATCTCTAAATATCCCAAAATTTCCCAAATATCCTTTTTTAAAACTGGAAAAAAGGTGAGGACACCTGCACAACAAAGTTGAGGATTAAATAGCAGTTTATTAACAGAATAATCTTGCAATTAAAGGTTGAAACAGGAACAAACAGGTGCATGCAGATAATCCCAAGCGTAAAGGCAGCAAACAAAATAACAAAGTAAAGGGGTCAAACATGGCAAGGTAAGGGAAACTGCGTCGTAATGCTCACTAAACAGTTTAAGACTCAGACACGACCTTCTCACTTTGTGTGTAATCGCTTAGAATTAGGAACACGTGTGTGCGAGGTGCATGCTGGGAGTTGTAGTTCGTTAAAGTAACGTGTGTAGTTTTTCAGCAATTCGCAGCCACTAGATCACTGGTGATCGTCACAATTCGCATAGCAACATTGTTAGAGTAGTAAAATAAACATTTCCCAGTTTACAGTGCATGCATTATATGCTGCCTACAATCAATAGGCTATCATTTCACTTCATTACCTCATGTTAATCTTCAAATGTTCACTATCTTTACTAAAAACAATTTGACTGACTTTTTGTTTCCTGATTTTTACAGGAATAATCTGTAAATATTAACCTAAAATTACGGGTTACTCTCTAAAAATACAAGAAATTTACATTAAAAAGCAGAAAAATGACGTAATACCAAATTATAAGCAATAACTGTAAATTTAATGTGAGTAAAGATTTTTGTACATTTTTTTATTACAGAACATATGTGTAAAACAACAGATATTTCACGGTATAATGAAAAACTGGAAAATTCTGTAAAAAAAAAATGCAGAAGATTACCTGCAGAAAAAAAAACTTTTATTTTTTGTGTATGCATCTATGTCTTTAGATATACATAATAAATATAAGCAGTAAACGCATAAATTATGTCAATGCAAACTTTTATTATGAATGCGATTGAATCACAATTAAGTTTTGCACAGCACTAATTATAAATTTTAATTAAAAATAAATAAATTAATTAATATAAAAGTAACAGTTTAAATTGAATAAAGGCAAAAATACATTAAGGTTGTGAATGACAGCAATGTACTGCCAAAATAATGAATGTATTAAGGTAATAGTATTTATTAATAATTGAGGCTAAAGCTTGGCCATGAGAATGAAACATCAAGCTCCTTTTTAATCCGTTTTTTGGTTTTCAGGTGGTGCATTAGCTGAAGGTTTTCAAGCCAGAATGTTTGAGTTTCAGAACTTTGAAAGGCGTTTTGAGGTGAGTGTTGTTGTGTTCGAAAGTATGTTTGGTTTAAAAGTCTGTCTGACTGTCATCTACTGTACTTTACTGTTATTCCAGGAGTGTATCTCGCAGTCAGCAGTGAAGACGAAGTTTGAGCAGCACACGACGAGAGCTAAACAGATTTCTGAAGCTCTGCGTCTGATAATGGATTCTGTGCACATCGCAGCTCAAGAGCAGAGGTGAGTGGTTTAAAGACGCCAGCAATAAAAATCCATCACGTTAAACTCTTACACTGAAATTAGCTATTAGGAATATAACCGTTTTTAAGCTATATTGCGGTTTGGAAAAGTCAAGGTTTTAATACCGCCAAAATTTTCTGTTATACCGTTCCTAAGGTATGAGTAAGATTTTTTATTTACATTTTTTGTTTTGTTTTTAGGACAACAGTATCTCCAGCAAAAAATATCCAAAGATGCCGTTTTATTTGTAAAGAAATCTGTTTTTGAAACAAATGAAAACAGCAGAAGCTAATGATTCATTTGAGTTAATTAGCCTGATGTGTTTACTGCTCCTAAATATTGTAAGTCTTTCAAAAAATAGAATATATTGTGCTCAAATGGGAAAAAAGTTATTCTTTTTTACCCAGACATTTAAAGGTTCAGGACACCCTGGAGAACTTTATTTTATATATTAACAGATGTCTGTGTGTTGAGCATCAGTTAAGACAATGTTAGCACATGTCAGCTTTAATTGTGGGGAAAACTGGATAATTTTGATCTTTTGTCAGCTAATTTCAGCTTCCGGATTTAAAATGATTTTTGGGGCGGGATCAAAATCGGCGACGTAGCGCAGAACTGCAAGTGCAATGATGACGTGTCGTTTTCTCATTAATATTCATAGCGGAGTTTTCTTATCCTATGAGAAGAGCCGGCTGCTTAATTATTCATGAGACCTGCCAGAGTCAAGCCCGAGCTGTGAGACACGGCACGGGCACACAGTATTTAGCCGTTCATGAAGGCTCGTATGCGTTTGTTTTCATGATCCACGGGGTTTGTTGCATGTTTTCCCCTGCGATCTTGTCAGGGCCAATCATAAAGCAAAGCTGTGTGTGTGCTGCTAGCAGTTTTGTCGGGAGAGCAGCACGAGAATTAGAGAATGGCGGACGCTGTCTTTTATCAGGAGTTCGTTCACATTCAGACACATCACTGTGCAGCTGTGTTTGCCTAAATCCTCCAGATTACCAGCAGGGCTAATGGTTAAAATAGACAGGTCAGGAGAACTGCTGCACTGAGTCTGCTGGATACGGGGATTGAGGGAGAAGTCCTCATTTATAGCGTTTACATGAACACACCTATCTTTATAATGATATAAATTGTGGTTATGTTTATATGAAATTACGAATAACAAATGTAGCAGGGCATTAAATCACTGATCATTTCTTTGCATTTTAACTTTGTAAACTATAAACTCATGCGTCTCCTCACGGTTTGTCTCATTTTGTGAGCTAGCTTCGTTCGCTCACATTCTCCCCTGCTGGCCACGCCCACTCCTGCCCGATGCTCGCGGAGCTCCACGCCCATTAATCATGCATCTTTTGAAAAAATTCTGAAGTAGACTTTAACTGAAAGTGGGGGGTGTCATGGCCCTTTAAAAAGAGTATATTTTAGAGCAGTGAGCACAAAACTGTAATACCATGAAATTTTTATCAAAGGTTATCATACTGTCAGAATCTTTTACCGGCCCATGCCTAATACAAATACATAAATACAACAACTTTGAGAGTAATAATTGAATGTCCAACAGGGCTATATTTTGGCCAACTCAATTCAGTGTCTTCTGTGTCATAATGCTTTATAAATTATTTCTAAATTTTATAAAAATAAAAAAAAAAGTTCAACGGTAGTTAATATGATCAAAACCCGTTTTTTGTTTTGATCATGTAGTGGCAGAACAATATGGAAATATGTCTTGATTATTTTAATGTTATTGGTAGCGAGAATGGCTGAATTCATCATCTTATTTTTTCTTCAAAATAATGTTTTTTTTATTTATTCTCTAGTCGTAGTCATTTTGGTAAAGAAGTTGTCATACAATAATTTTAAACACTGCTCTGACTGAAATGAATATGCAGTATGATGATTAATTTTGCTTGTTCGTTTTAGGATTCATTGCTTGGAGATGAAGGAGGAGAGGGAGGACAGGCTGGAGTTCATTGATAAACAGCTGGATCTGCTCACTCTCGACTGCAAGAGCAAAATCAAGAAGATCACAGAGGAGGTGGAGAAACAGGTGATTCAATCTTTTTGTTTTTAGGAAACGTTAGAAGATAAAATCTGTTTACATTCGGGATGGTTGATATCTATGGAATGAAATGTATGCTAAATGTTCACATTTTGTAAAATGTAAAGTTGGCTTCTGGTTGTGTAGGTTTCCAATGCTATGGCAGAGGAGATCCGCAGGCTGGCGGTACTGGTGGATGACTTTCACATGGACTTCCATCCTTCACCAGTCGTGCTCAAAGTCTACAAGAACGTGAGTTTTCTTCTGTTGATGAGAACACTCCTTTATGTATCGCTGTTTAATGTACTGCGTCAGCATGTGTATTACGGAATTTCCCCAGCAGCCCAAAGATTTGATCTTATTTGTGGCTGAAGAGCAAGTCTTTGTTGCTTGTCACTTTCAGTTTTATATACAGGGTGTCCGAACATCCTAAAAAAATCTTAAACAATCTCTCTTAGGAGAGATTCTTAAATTCTCTCCTAGTGAGGAGAGAACATCCTCACTATGTTGCTGCATGCCTCAGTTTACTAATTTCCTTTTATTCTTTCCCTGTTGATGCTAAAGTCCGTGGTTACTCTAATTCAGGGGTCACCAATCTCGATCCTGGAGGGCCATTTGTGTCCCTGCAGGGTTTAGCTCCAACTTGCTTCTACACACCTGCCTGGGTGTTTCAAGTATACCTTGTAAAACCTTGATTAGCTTGTTCAGGTGTGTTTGATTAGGGCTGGAGCTAAAATCTGCAGGACACCGACCCTCCAGGAACAAGTTTGGTGACCCCTGCTCTAATTCTTTTGGGATCATTTCTTTTTAGTAGCAGTCGTTTCTCTGCGTTGTGTTAATTTTTTATTGTCATTAAAAAGAATCTCCACCCAAATATAGTCATGCTGAGGAGATTGGATTTTTATTTGCGTCTCACAGGCTCCACATTGTGCAACTAACCCACATCCCAGTCTATTTTATATTTGTATATTCCGCTATAGACCACTAGAAAATGTTATATTTGTTAAACTTACAATATATGTTAATTCAGTGTTATACATGTTTTATTCTGTAAGTCTGTAAAAGTTAGAGTTCTGAAAATCACAACTAACACATTACAAGACAAATGTGGCATTATTTTGTTATTTTATCCTTAACCACTTAAACTCTGCAGACCCGGTACCGGGTCCGTGACGTCATCGACTTTCGCTTTCAGATTTAAAGGGCTAGCGTTGCACCAGACCCCCTGTCGTTTGAAAGTGTAGAATCTATATTTTATGCACATATGCATCACTTTGGTTTTTATTCTACTGTATAAAAGTTATTTACACTTAAATACACAGTATTTTGGATACCCGAGCTAGGTATTTCACATTGGTTCATTTTCATATTTTTTCATATGACACATGTACAAGTTATAGCTCAAGTGAAAGCTGTTGCCGGTGCTCATACAGTTCTAGCATTCTTTTTACTAAATTATATTCATATGCCAAACAATTGTTGGATGAATTGTGGTGTTTCCATGGCGCAGAAATGTAAACAATACATTCATGATCAATAAGCAGCCCCAGATAGCACAGACAGCTGTCATCTCTTACCTTATGCTGTGCTCTTCAGGGCCAATTCTCCTCTGTTTTTGTGGTGATGTGCATAAGTAATCCTTTTATATGTCTGATGTGGTCCAAACACAGTGAATTATGTTTGATCAAACAAAAGGATAGTGAAATATGTAAACAAGGATCGGTCTCTGTGACTTGTACAGCACCTCTCATCAGTTGGAATACAATAACTTTTGCATAGATTATGGTAGAGACATTTTTCTTTTTTCCTATGATAACAGATATGTGCAGAAACCACCAAAATTAATTACAGCACGCTAGACCACACAGAACCTAAAAGGTACACTTTCAAATTTGAGCTTATAAAAAAAAAAATACAAAAAGCGCCTCTTTTTTTAGGTGTTTATTATAACACAGACGACATATACAGATATTTAAACACTTTCAATAGTGTTTTATGAAAATTCAAAGGGTTTTCTTTAAAATTATAAAAATTTTTGCATTTACACCTCTGCATGTGGATTTGGGAAGCTTTTAAATTTGGGTAGGCAAAATCCAGGCGGAAATCCCCAAATAGCAGCAGAGTTTAAGTGGTTAATATGCTAATGACAGCATTTTAAATTAGGAAGAAATGTCATCGGTACTTTACAGAATAGAACAAAAAGTCTTTTACTCAACAACATAACCAATTTTTTTGTGGTCTCATATAATTTTGCTTGCTGTGAGTTATAATACGCATTCTAAAATTTCTAATATATGTCTTTCTAAAATAAAATTCGGTACATTATTTAATTGCCCTCTGATTTGTCATGATTAAATTTGTGTTGTGGGAATGATTGATTTCAGGAGCTGCACAGGCACATAGAGGAAGGTCTTGGCAGGAACATGTCGGAGAGATGCTCCAGTGCAATAACCGTAGCTCTGCAAACCACACAGACTGACATGATCGGTCAGTATTTCTTTCATTCTTTACTAGGGTTGGATTAAAAAAAAAATTTTGATTCTGAAATTGCATCCTTAATAATCAAATACTTGTCGTAAAATTTTGTTTTTGATTCCTCTTATCGATTCGCGTGTGCAATTTTTTTTTTTTCACTGCGAAAGTGCTCAAATGTGCGGCTACCTTTGGAAAAGAACAATGGTAAAGCTAAGTGTAATAACTGAAATTAACTTAATATGTTGCAAGCAAGGTTTCACAACCAACATCACCAAACATATCTAGTATTGTATCACAATATTGTCATTTCTTTTTAAAAATATGTTGTTTTTAAATGTCTGGGTAAAAAGCAACAGCGTTTTTCCTCATTGAACTTTATATATTTTATTATAAGAAACATTTAAAATATTTAGGAAAAGTAGCTTTTGATATGGAGAGTCATTTTCTGCTGGAGATATTGTTACATCTAACAAACTAAACATAAAAGTCAATAAAAACACGTAAAACCTCCCCTAAAAAAACAAACTTGTATACACTGTAGGAGCGGTATAACAGCAAACGTTGGTGGTTTTAAAACCTTGACTTTTCCAAACCGCGCTAAACCTTCAAAACGGTTATCATCCCATGCCTATTTGGATCACAGCATCAGATTAAAAGAATGCACCCTGCTAAATTCATTGCATATCCATGGTGCAACCAACAAGTGTTGTGTATTTTAGTCACCCGACATGTTTAATCTTTTAATTTTGCAAAAATGAATACATATTCGATTGCAAATGAGGTCTGCTTCATTCTCTACAAACAGCAGCTCTCATTCAGCGCCCGTCAGCTGGTGTTTTTAAAAAAAGACACAGCTTGAGAATTGTTTAATTTCATGTTTGTAGTCTTTAATGTGCTTTTAATATTATAATTATATTAAATTTATATAAATAGATGATTTTTTTTTCTTTCCTGATCCTTAGTATGTTTTTAGTCAAAGACACATAATTTAATATGCATATGGACGTAGTATCCGTGACGTCACCCATAGGTTTCTGAACAATGCAAAAGAAGCCACAAGTAGGCGCGGTAAACCGTTGACATTTTGTTTGCGCGTCATCGCACTCATGGCCGGATACCAAACAAGGGCAAAGAGGCGGAGAGTGAGCGGAGCTACAGACACCTGCTGGCATTTTGCTTGGACCAGGCTTAGACAGACTTTACTTTGGGAAAACACTTAATACTTTACTATATGCGACTCGTTTGTGTTCTGACCACTTGTGCTTGGCTGTATACTATATCAATAAAGTGTTTAGACTTTTAAAAACACTGTTGTAACACATTGAGCCACTAAACATTGTTCTTATGACGTTTTTCTACAGGAGGAAAACGCAAAATACTTCCAAACACTTCAGATATAGTCTGTGTTAGTAAATGCAGGACTATTGATGAAATCCAGCATAACACTGTATGACAACGCTTCAGATGACTGTTCTAGAGTCTGCAGCTAATCAATCTGTCAGATTCTGCAGTGCATTACAGCTCTTAAGAAAAAAACGAATGATAAATGATATTAAAACAAATAGATTTATAGAGCTGGTATAAGTATATAACTGGGAAACGGAGGCCACGTGAATGGTTTGTGAGCACAATTAAGTGCACATAGCATCCCATATCATTTGATAATTGTAGGAAATAAGTCCAAAAGGCAACTGACTGTGTGAAGCCACATAAAACAACACAAAAATATGATGTATAGTCTCAGTGGCTAATCTGCCGGAGTCAGCTGAGGTGAAGTGACGGCGACCAGCGAGACCTCGCTGTCACTCAAGTGGCCACGCCCTTAATTGTGCAAACTTAATGTAGCCTAATATAAAGTAAACGGATGAGTTACAAAAAATTCACCCCCCTCACAGTTGTCATGAAGGGTAATATTAGCTATATGAACCAAAATCTTTATACCAGGTTGTAAACACCTTTTTTTCTGCTGTAAAGCTGGCTATTCTAACAGAGGGCTCAGTTGAAATTTGCTCTATTATGGAGTCAGGACTAGCGGATTTTCGATGAATTGCAGTTTCAGTTATTTCCTTATTGGCTTCCCTGAGGGAGAGCGGGAGGTTGCCGCTTGCTAAAAACTTTAAAAAGGAATAAAGTGTATAGGCCTAATAGATCAGAAATAAAGAAAATCCGTTATTTATAATTTCATTAGTTAATGCATAAAGTAGCCTACTCATAAAGCGTGTTTAATTGATCTGGAACTTTTTAATATGATGTTTAGTCCACTTGTTATCATAATGTGAAAATGCAGCTTAAGAATAGACTTTTTAATTACTATTGTTTACATAGTACGAAACTGAAAATCGTTAAGCGGAATTGAAATCAGAATCGATACATTTTTAATGATACCCAACCTTATTCCCAGCTCACCCCATAACAGCAGGTTATTAAGATGCTTTTGTTGTTCCAGACGGTCTGAAGCCACTGCTGCCTATCACGATTCGGGAGCAGGTGGATAAGATGGTGCCCAGACAGTGTTTCGCCCTCAGCTACGACCTCAACTGTGACAAACTCTGCAGCGACTTCCAGGAGGACATCGGCTTTCACTTCTCCCTCGGCTGGACGATGCTGGTCAACCGCTTCCTGGGCCCCAAAAACACACGTCGCGCTCTAATGGGCTACAACGACCAGGTAGCATTCACAGGGTGTCCGCTGGGTCTTAAAATGTCTTGCATTTCAAAAATGAAATTTTAGGCCTTTTAAAAGTGTTAAATTGACTGAAATATTGTGGTGAAGCTCTTACAGGGGGGAAAATAAGTATTCCACATGTCACAATTTTAGAAATTTGAAACTTGTTTTTAAAGGTGCTGTTGAATTTTGATAACTAAAAACATACATATATATTTTACAAATGAAGTCTTGTGTAATCAAATAAAATGACACAGGAAAAAGTATTGAACACATAAAGGAAGGAAGGTGTAGAAAGGCAGTGAAAGTCCAGATAGCAGCTGAAATCTCTCGGTTCTTCAGCAATCCTCAGCCCTTCGTCATTGTAAATGAATATTAGCTGCTTTAGTCCAACTTCTACATTAGCAGGATGATGATGATGATGATGATGATGATGATGAAACCAGGGTGGACATTACAGCAAGACAATGATCCAAAACACAGCCAAGGAGACTCAAATGCTTTGAGAGAAAGTAAACCTAGCTGTAGAATGGCCCAGCCAATCACCTGACTTAAATCTAATAGAAAAAACTAAATAAAGCTTAGATTTGATAAACAAGACTATTTTTTTTTAAAAGATTTTTTGGTTTGGTTTTGTTTTATTTTTATGTTTTGGTTGTTCAGGTTTTTACCAAAATCTGGTTCAATTCCATGTCAACAGCTCCTTTAGAAATATTTTTCTCAGAAAAAATAGGACGTGTTCGATACTTCCCCCGCCACAATGTAAAACATTTTAAACAGGTCTTAGTTTAGCTTTGTCAAAATAAAGCTACTCAATCGGGCCGACATCCATAGACTCACCACCAATACATCTTAATAACACCCTATTTTATATATTAAAAAAAAAAAAGTTATTGCAAAGATACTTTTCTACAACAGTCCCCATTAAATTCCCTAATCATGGAAACAGTTATGATTCCTCGTGCTAATACCAGGCCGTTGGAAAAAAAATCCTTAATGTTTAACCCTGTATTGACCTTATTCTCCGCAGACGAGCGGGCGCTGCCATTTGAATCTTTTTGGCACAAGACTTCCGGTCTCATTCACTTCCATTCATTTTTAGACATTAAAAACGGCTCGTTTCGTTGTTTGATGTTGCAAACTGATATTTCCTTGTTGTATTATTCTACTTGGTCTGTATAGTCATGCAAACATTTGTTTGTAGAGCAAGTAGTTTGACCGTTTTTTGCCGTTTATTATTCCTTGTCATTTCTCCCATAGGCGACTGAAACGGAAGTTCTAAGACAATCGCGAAAACAGGCGCACTTCCGCATTTGAGAATAAATTTGAGAGAAAATTTCATTCTTAATGCTCTTAAAAGAGTCTTAAAATGTCTTACATTTGACTCGATGAAACTTGCAGAAACTCTGCATTTATTGTGGATAAACTTTGTGTTCTGATAATGTTCAGATTTGTTTATATAAAGCAGCATTAGCATATTTGATTTTATTCTCTTTTTCAATTTAGTTTTCTAGTTTTAGTTTTAATAGTTATAATAATTTTTCACTATCAAAATCATCCCTAATTGAAGGAAACATTAAACTGACACGTATGACATGCATATTTGGGCCCTATGAAATATTACAGGTAAGCTAAAATACACTGTATGTATACACACACATACACACACACACCCAAATTGTGAAAAGTGGGTACATTACATGAGGTTGCATTAATTTTATACTGTTCAAACCGCATATTGTATTGCCCTCACCCCACCCTACCCCTGAACCCAACCATCACTGGAGACTGTGTACAGCTTTACTCTCTGAAAATCTCATTCTGTGGGATTAAAAGCTTTTTGAGAAATGAGGACGTCACCAATGTCCTCATATTTGACCTCCTTTTTGAAATACCTGTGTAATACCTGTCATTATACAGATTTGTGTCCTGATATGTCACAAAAACACATACAGACACACACACACACAAAAAATGTGTGTATATATACATGTATGTGAATGTATATGCATTAGGGCTGCACAATATATCATTTTAGCATCGCATTTCGCAATGTGTGAATATGCAATAGTCACATCGCAGGACATGCAGTGTGAAGCCAGGATTATAGTTGACCAGGTACAACAGTTCGAAACCAGGAGAACTTCAGTTTAACCATAATAAAGTGAACATTTATCAATTGCTTGTGTTTTAAGGCATTTTAATTAGGATTTGAAGTGTTTGGGCGTTTAATTATTTACACAATGAAGAACATACAGCACATTGTTTTTTTATTTTTGACTCCTTCATTTGTGTATTTACTTTATCACTGCTTGTAATTTGTTTATTAAAGTTTATGCAGATGCACTACCCTAAAAAATCATCCCAGTCAATCTAAAATGATTAAGTTATCTTGTGAAATATAAACTGAAGAAAATCTAAATATCACAATGTAAGTTTTTTACCAATATGGTGCAACACTAAAATGCATGTAGTTATTTTTTATGGGATTAGATCAAATTTTTTATGATGCGATTTTATCTCATTTTCAACTTGAATATTAAGGAAATCTATTTTATTGTTTTTTTTTTTTTTTGCAAATTTTGTGGAGTTTGTTTTTTTCCCCCTATTATAATATAATATAGATATATTATAGAAAGCTTAAAGCATTAAGAAAGTAATTGTTTTGCTTTAGTGTGTTTTTGCAAACAAAAGTGTGTGTGGTGTGTGTGTAGGTTCCCAGATCCCTGGCCATTACTCCGGTCAGCACAAGTATGCCTCCATTCCCTCAAGGATCTATGACCCAGGAAGAGCTTATGGTTTCTATGGTGACAGGACTGGCATCACTCACCTCTCGGACATCAATGGGCATCATAGTTGTTGGAGGAGTGGTAAGAACACACTGGATATCTCTGATTCACCAAATGCATCTGTTTCTATTTTTTATTTGCTAAGGGGCGGTTCACATAGAACACGTTTTTCCTTTTTCAGTTAGAGCTTAGCTCGTGCCCAAAAAAATTAACCCGACCCTACTCAAGCCTGAGCACTTTGGGCTCTATTTTGACGATCCATCGCAGAGCGCAAAACGCAGGGCGCAAACGCTTTCAGGGCGTGTCAGAACGCATTTTTGCTAATTTACTGATGGGAAAATGCGCTTTGCGCCAAGGCGCATGGGCTAAAAGGGTTGAGTTTATTTTCTTAATTACTTATAGGTGTGGAAGAAGACATAAAAGCAGTGATTTTTCATATTTATGTAGGCTAGAAAATAATATGTTTTGTAATATTTTAATCCTTTATATTTATATCCTATATCTATTCTTATTATATCCTATATATATCCTTAATATTACATTTTTTTTATATGTAAAGATATTTGCCTATTGCTCTCTTGTGCGTATTAAGCAGTGTGTAAGCGAGGCGCAACTCTGTTAGTTTTGGTCTAATGAAAAATCTATTTTAGTTTCTCAAAATAGCAACGCGCAAGCCGTGCACCTCAGAACGCCTTCCTTTTTAGAGCAGAACGCCTATGGACGCACAAATGAGCGCTAATGCATTTGCTATTTAAACAGCGTAGCGCAACGCCTCAAAACGACTCTTGTGCCAAGCTGAAACTACCAAAAGACTATTGCGCCGCGTCACACTGCGCCGGGTGTATGATAGGGCCCCTTGTGTCCGAGCCTGACCCGGTCTGACACATAACTGTAATCATGAGCCTGATTTAAACCTGAATATTTTTTAATTTGTGGGCTGTTTTAACAGATGTTCTCAACTACAATTCTGAGTTGTTTAACTACAGAAATTAGTTTAGATTTATCTTAATGAGTAATGCAACAAGGATAAGCGTGTAAACTGCATCGTTTGTTTATTCAGAATGGATTGTAACAAAACACGACAGTGAATGCTGACCGTCATCATTTCTCCCATGGCAAGCCTGTTTCATGTGTCTGTTCACTGTGAAAATCCCTGTTTTTTTGCTATTACCTCCTTCACACCGCATGCACGAGCAGAGAGTGAGCGTGTTTTTTTCGGCGACCACGTTAACAGATCTGAGCTTTCAAAACGCATGCAGAAACAGCGCACCAGTGCGGAGCGTGAGCAGAGCTGAAGCTGCAGTGCTGCCATCATTTCTGCGCTGGGTTTATTTTCGCCTCTGCTCACGCTTAATTAAAGTGACAATGCATTGATAATGACCAAAAACACATTGGACCCTATCATACACCCGGCACAATAAGGCGCAAGACGTGTTTTTATGACGTGTTGCTATTTTGCTCCACTTTGTGTGGTGTTTCGGTCTGGATAAGAGGTGTGTTAAGGCGCGTTGCTATTTTGAGGATCTAAAATGGAGTGCACAATGGACCAGCTGAGAGCGCGTCAGTTGAATTAACTATAAAATACCTTTTAGAACTTCTAAAGTTCCTTTTAGAATTAACTATAAAATACTTCTTCTCACCTTTAAAGCCATCCACAATCTTGCTCCTCCATACCTTACTAATCTTGTTCATATCGCCACACCTGCTCGAACACTCAGGTCTTCTTCTTCCATTCACCTCACTGTTCCCTCTGTCCGCCTTGTCACCATGGGGAGCAGATCTTCAGCCACTCTGCTCCTCAGCTTTGTAACTCACTTCCTCCTGATCTCGGTAATTTAGACACTCTTTCACAATTTACGTCCAGACTCAAAAAACATATGTTTAGAACAGCCTATTCTCTTTGACCCGATTTTATTTTTAAAGCTTGTATTGTATTCTATTGTTTGTTGTGTTTTTATTTGAATTGATTGTTTTAGCTGTCCTGTACGGTGACCTTGAGTGTCATGAAAGGCGCCTTTAAATAAAATGCATTATTATTATTATTATTATTGTGTGCCTTGCCTCGGGCTCGGGCAGAGAATCTAAACTCTGTTTCCAATGTGCTACTTTTCTATTGTTTTACAATGTAACCACACGCTTGGCAAACATGCAATCATTCGTATCTTTTGAGGCGCCGCACAAGCGTTGTGTCTCCTGTTTTTAGAAAATCGGTGTAAATGAGCCCTTAATGAATTTGACATAGAAGTAATTAAACAGGGAGATGACAGTCATTCATTGATTTTCCTTCAGTTTAGTCCCTTTATTTATCAGGGGTCGCCACAGCGGAATGAACCGCCAACTTATCCAGCATATGTTTACTGGGAAACACCCACACACTCTCACATTAACACACATACAATAAGGCCAATTTAGTTTATTCATTTCACCTGTACCGCATGTTTTTGGACTGTGGGGGAAACCAGAGCACCCGAAGGAAACCTACGCCAGCACGGGAGAGCATGCAAACCCCACCTAGAAATGCCAGCTGGGGCTCGAACCAGTAACCTTTTTGCTGTGAGGCAACAGTGCTAACCACTGAGCCACCATGCCATCCAGGCAGATGACATGAACGACCTTTGAATTATTACTATTGTAATATGATTTATTACATTTATTTTTCATTTAGTTTTATTTATGCATTTTTTTTAACAAAAAATTTTAAAATTTCAAATTTTAACAAAATTTGAAAACTTTGACCATGACTGTAGCCATTTCTGCTGATGTGGCGTTAAATCTTGCATAACATGAAGACTAATAAAAAATGCGTGTGATTGTGTTTCAGATCTGGAAAGCAGTGGGCTGGAGGCTCATTGCTCTGTCTGTGGGTCTCTACGGGCTGCTGTACGTGTATGAGAGACTCACCTGGACCACCAGAGCCAAAGAGAGAACATTTAAGAGGCAGTTTGTGGATTACGCCAGCGAGAAACTGCAGCTCATCGTCAGCTACACCGGCTCCAACTGCAGCCATCAAGTTCAGCAGTGAGTCTCAATCTACCCGTTGTATCAGTTGTAGCAAAACAGTGTTATGAATATGAAATCATGTGAAGTTTTGTCAGAAGTAATCTAATAAGATATTTTCTTTTAGTTAGCAGCTATTAAAAAAGATTATAACAGTAAAAGTTTGGCGTCTGTAAGATTTTCAGATGTTTTTGGATTGATTTCTTTATTTTGGAGCACATTTTAAAAATAATGCTGTAATTTAAAATATTTATTTTTTTCTATTTTAATGCAAACAATTTGAATATTTTTCGTGACTGCAGACTTGCATTTTCAACAGCCATTTTTCCTGTCTTTAAACTCATGTGCATTCATTTTTAATAGTTTATTAAAAACAATTATTATCATTATTCTTCTTATTTAAATGTTAATAAGGATTTTTTTTAAACACTGTTAACTTTAAGTGTCAAAAGAACAGTTCAGTTATTATTATTATTAAGATTTTTTTTTAAACCCTGCTAACTTTAAATATCAAAAGAACAGTTTAGTTATTATTATTATTGTTATTAAGGAAGTTTTTTTATTAAAACGCTGCTAACTTTAAGTGTCAAAAGAGCAGTTCTCTTGTTATTATTAATATTAAAGTATTTAATTTACTTTATTTTATTTTATTGAAAATATTTCAAGTTTCAAAAGAACAGTTTAGTTATTATTATAATTATTATGTAGCATTTTTTTAAGTAAAAAAAAAAACAATTCTGTTTTTGCTATAATTATCATTATTTGTTATTATTATTATTATTAATGGAGTATTTTATGTTATTGAAACACTGCAACTTTAAGTTTTAAAAGAAAAGTTCAGTTTTGTTGTTATTATTATTGTTGTGTTGTGTTCATTCGTTTTTAAGTTTCAAAAGAACAGTTTAATTGTTGTTGTTGTTATAAGTATTATTATTATTAATTAAGTATTTTATTTGATTGAAATATTGCAAACTTTTTTAAGTTTCAAAAGAACAGTTCAGTTGTTGTTGTTATTATTATTATTATTAGTAGTATTAGTATTATTATTAATTAAGTATTTTATTTGATTGAAATACTGCAAACTTTATTTAAGTTTCAAAAGAACAGTTCAGTTGTTGTTGTTGTTGTTGTTCTTAGTAATAATATTAATATATAATATTAATAATTATTATTATTAATAATAAATAAGTATTTTATTTTATTAAAACACTGCAATTTGTTTCAGGTTTCAAAAGAATAATCAGTGTTGTTATTATTAATAATGTAGTATGTTATTATATAACTTATTATATAACTTATTTGTAAAACTATATAATTCTTTGCATTCACATTTGATAGGTTTCATTAACATTTGCATCTAAAATTCATAAAAATAATAATAATAATGCAGTCCCTAAACTTTTAAAATGATAGTGTATACCCATTCCCATTAAAAAAATGCAGATTTCAGTGATCTGAGCCCTTGTACACTGCCGCCCTCTGCTGGAGAAAACAGATATCATCCCCAAAGGAGATATTCTGGAAGTGTTGCTAAACAGACTGATTGATTGTTTGTTTGTGACAGGGAGCTGGCCAGCACCTTCTCTCAGCTGTGCCAGCAGGTGGACGTCACCAGACAGCAGCTGGAGGATGAAATTGGGGATTTGAACAGCAAGATTGAACAGCTGGACACCCTGCAGAGTAAAGCCAAACTGCTCAGGTGAGTCTCAAACAGTACAGAGGAAAAATACAGTAGGTTTTACAGTAGGTCAGTAAATGTTTATATTGTTGTTGTTATTTTAATAAATATTTTTAAGTTAATTGCTGAATAAAGGCATAATTTCTCAAATAGATTGTTTTAGTTAAAGATTATATTATATTTCTTATAAACACACACACTCACCGGACACTTTATTAGGTTCACCTTACTAGTACCTGGTTGGACCTCCTTTTGCACGACATACTACAGGAAATATTGCTCAGAGATTGACTTCAAAGCATCACACAGTTGCTGCAGATTTGTCGGCTGCACATCTATGATGTGAATCTCCTGTTCCACCACACAAAGGTGCTCTATTAGATTGAGATCTGGTGACTGTGGAGGCCATTTGAGTACAGAGAACTCATTGTCATGTTCCTGTTCTTAGCTGACAGCAGTGGTACCCTGTGTGGTCTTCTGCTGCTGTAGCCTATCCGCCTCAAGGTTTGATGTGTTGTGATTGTAACGAGTGGTTATTTGAATTACTGTTACCTTTCTATTAGCTGGAACCAGTCTGGCCATTCTCCTCTGACCTCTGTGATCAACAAGGCATTTGCGCCCACAGAACTGTCGCTCACTTGATATTTTATCTTTTACACACCATTCTCTGTAAACCCTAGAGATGGTTGTGCGTGAAAATCCCAGTAGATCAGCAGTTTCTGAAATACTCAGACCAGCCCATCCGGCACCAACAACCATGCCACGAAAAAAGTCACTTAAATCACCTTCTTTCTCATTCTGATGCTCGATGTGAACATGCCTAAATGCATTGAGTTGCTGTCATGTGATTGGCTGATTAGAAATTTGCGTTAACGAGCACAGATGTACAGATGTACCTAATAAAGTGAGTGTGTGTGTGTGTGTGTGTGTGTATTTGGAATTGGATGTAATTTGACTTCTCTCCTACAGGAATAAGGCGGGCTGGCTGGACAGTGAGCTCAACATGTTCATTCAGCAGTATCTTCAACAGGGGCGATAAACTCCACAAGCCCTCAACAAGCTCCGTCGATCTCTCTTGCAGATCATCTAACCCTTCAAACTTTTATTTCAGCGTACCAATCACATATTTTTCTATTCGTTGTTCTTTCCGCCATTGAGAGTACAGTGACACGTGCCACTTTAAAAAGAAGCTTTCTTTCGTTTGTTTGTTTTTTTTTGTACACAAGACACTGTTTCTTTTATATTTAATACAAGAGTAATTATTTATTCTTGACATAAGAGGTCATGTGACGTAGTGGCTCTCTTTGTTAGGTTGTGTTTATAGTCCATATCAGTTTTCTTAATACGCCACAGTCAATCAAAAAGTGAGACGATGTTTTAGACCAGTGTTTCCCAACCATGTTCCTAAAGGCACACCAACAGTACACATTTGCCACCTCTTCCGGTTTAAACACACCCGCATCCACTCATCAGAACATTAGAAGAGACTCCAAAACCTGATGTTAATGGGTCAGATAAGGGACACTTTCAAAGTATGTTGGTGTGCCTCCAGGAACAGGGTTGGGGAACACTGTTTTAGGCTCTCACGTGCCTTGGAATTAATCTGATGGTGTGTGTTTGTGTGTGTCGTACAGCTATGAAAATGAGGTTTTCCTCTGCAATCTGTATCACAGCTCTACTATAGTATGTTTAATAATGTAAACAATGCCGTGTCTCCATTCCACTCAAGTCTGAGATGAGAACATTGCTATTGTGGGTGTCAGATTCAACATCAGGATTCGGGAAGGAGGAATTTAGCGACAATTTAAAGGGATAGTTCACCCAAAATGAGCATTTACACACTATTTATTTACCCTCAAGTGGTTGTAAACCTCAGAGTTTCTTTTTTTTTACTGTTAAATGCTAAAGATATTTGAAATTAAGCCGAAAACCATTGATAAACGTAGTAGAAACAACAAACACTGTAGAAGTCAATGGTTACAGGTTTACAACATTCTTCAAAATCTCTTCTTTAGTGTTCAATTGAAGAAAGAAACTCATAAATGTTTGAAATGAGTAAAGGGTGACTGAATTACTGAATTTTTTTGTCGAACTATCCTTTTAAGGCTGTCATTTATCCACATGTTAACCAACTCTATTTTATTTTTCTCCTGTTCCCAAAGATTTGATCTGGCTGACACTTTTGGCAACATTGAATGGTTAGTTCACCCACAAATGAACATTTACTCACTCTTTAAGCAACCTGAAGTGGTTGTAAACCTTCATGAGTTTCTTTTTTTTACTGTTGAAAAAGAAGATATTTTGAATAAAGCTGAAAACCATTGACTCAAAGTATGAAAAACAAATACTATGGAAGTCAGTGGTTACAGGTTTCCAGCATTTTTCAAAATCTCTTTTGTTTTCAAGAGAAGAAAGAACTATTTTTTTGGGTGAACTATTTCTTTATACTGAAGTGCAAACAATTTTTTCAGCCTGTTTTTGAAGACTTGATCTGCCTGACACTATTGGGAACATTAAAGCGATAGTTCACCCTAAAATGAACAGTTACTCACTATTTAACCACCCTGAAGTGATTGTAAACCTTCATGAGTTTCTATTTTTCTGGTAAACACAAAAGAAGATATTTTGAAGAAAGTGGGAAAACGGTAACCATTGATTTCTATAGTATGAAAAACAAATACTGTGGATTTCAGTGGTTACAGGTTTCCAACATTCTTCAAAATATCTTCCTTTGTGTTCAACAGAAGAAAGAAACTCCTAGAGGTTTGAAATGAGTAAAGGGTGACTGAATTACTGACTTTTTGGGTGGACTGTCTCTTTAAGGCTGTCAGTTACCCTCAAATTAGCAAACTATTTTATTTTCACCCTTTTCCCAAAGATTTGATCTGCCTGACACTTTTGGCATCATTGAAGCGGTAGTTCACCCTAAAATGAACATTTACTGATTATATAACTACCCCAAAGTGGTTGTAAAGCTTCATGAGTTTCTTCTGTTGAACACAAAAGATGTTTTGAATAAAGAGGGAAACCGGTAACCATTGACTTCTGTAGTATGAAAAACAAATACTGTGGTTACAGGTTTACAACATTTTTTGAAATATCTTCCTTTGTGTTCAGCAACAACAACAAAAAAGAAACTTATAGAGGTTTGAAATGAGTGACTGAATGATTTATATTTTATTTTTGGGTGAACTATGCCTTTAAATCTGAGTTGCACAAATTAGTGCGAACAATTTTTTTTCACCCTGATTCCAAAGACTTGGCTGACACTTTTGGCAACATTAAAGGGATAGTTCACAAGTACTATCTATTTAACCCTCCCTCAAGTGGTTGTAAACCTTTTCTTCAGTTGAACAAAGAGGAAAATATACTTTGGAGAAAGATGAAAAGCGGTAAGCATTGACTTTAGTATAAAAAACAAATACTATGGAAGCCAATGGTTACAGGTTTCAAACATTTTTTGAAATATCTTCTTTTGTGTTCAGCTAAGTGAAGAGTGAGTGAATAATAGCAAATTTGTACGTTTTGGGTGAACTATTCTTTTATATACATGCTCTTACACGCTGATTCTAGAATAACAACAGTTTATACAACTGTATAACCTGACTTAATTAAATCAGTGATGTTCTGCTGCCACATTTTAACACTAATCATTTGCTTAGTTGCAATTAATGAATATGAATATGGGATTTATGAATTGGATTGGATGAGTGATGCGCATATCATTACGAGTTAATAATACATTTTATTCCATCGAATCAGACTTCACTAATTCATTACAGTGATGTGCGATCCATTACTAACCCGTTAGTCTCTCACATGTGTGTGGTATATTGTATGGTAAGCTGTTTAGTTTGGATTATGACGTGTGCCAAGCGTTCCAGAAGGTGATCTGAAGAGCTCCTGTGATGTGCACTTTATAATTTGCTGCTTTCTTTGCGTTCGTTTCCTGCAGGTTCTTTAGAAAGAGAACGGCACACACTGACCTGTGTCTGTCAACAGTAATGTATAGATGAGCATGCAGACTGATGTCATTTATTGTCATTCATTATTACTGTTAGACGAAATAATAAAGTGACACTGTTAAAATGGACTAGATTGATTTGTCTCTGTCGACTGTCGAGCCTATGGGAAACATGTTTTTATTAATAAGATGATGCTTAAATAAACACAGGAGTGTCTGTTCTTGTTTTTAAAGACCCACGCCAAAATATTAAATAAAGTATTTCCTTGTGGATGAAATGAAGTCATTTTATTAACGGATTTATAACATAACATTTAAAATAACACTTTAATTAAAGGGACAGTTCTCCCCAGAAATTTAAATTTCATCTCCATTTACTCAAGTGGTTTAAACTTGCATGAACTTCTTTCATTTGTTGAGCGCTGCAAGATATTCTGAAGAATGTGGGAGAAAATATGCCACATTGTAGGAAGAATACTATGCAAGTCGACGGCTTTTCCCTTCAGCATTCTTCAGTATAACTTCCTTTCGGTTCGACAGAAGAAAGAAATTTACTTTGGAACAAGTGGAGGACGAGTAAATGACAGAATTTTTATTTTTTGAACCCTGTCCAATGCACTGCTGGCTTTTAAATGCAGAACCACGCCAACACGGGAAGAACATGCAAACTCCACACAGACACACCGTGTCAAAACTATTTTGAATCTGTCCTTACTAAAAGTTTCAAATAATCAAAATAAATATTTTTCTTTAAAATGTTTATTTTGTTTTCGTGTTATACGAGTATAATATTGTATTTTATTAAATAAAGATAATCCTTGATAATCCTATCAAGATCCATTTTTAACCATATAAATATATATATTTTTTTATTTATTACACTGTAAAACAAATACGTAACTTTACGGTTTATTTCCGACAGCTGGGGTGCCGGAAGAAAAAAAAGTAAAATAATAGCTGTTAAATTACAGAATTAAACTGTAAAATTACAGCTATTAATTTACAGAAATTTGCTTAAGTTTAAATTTTTGGTAAATTTCTGTAATTTAATATCCGTTATTGTAAGGTAGATTTCTGTAATTTCTGTTATTTTACGTTTTTTTCCGACACCCCAGCTGCTGGAAATAAACGTAAAATTAAATTAGGCCAAGGTTTTTTTTTTTTTTTTTTTTTTTTTTTTTTACAGTGTACAGTTGAAGTCAGAATTATTATTATTATTATTATTAATATTTATTTATTTTTGCTCAAAACTATTTTAATTTTAGTTACAAAAAAGCTTGGATAAAATAGAACATTTCAGGCAGTTTGTCTGTTTATTTTTACACTAAACATTTAACAGTCTTTTTTTATTTAACTTTGTGAGCAGTTTCAGTCAATTGTTCATAAAAGACAAACCTTACATCTCTTACAGTAAAGCATTTGAGAAGTGATGCGCAAAACTTGAACCCGCAAACCCCTCACAAAATTTGCAATTGCGACCCTGCATTTATGTAGAAAAAGGAGTGTGTGGTGGTGAGCAAAGCCGAGTTGTTAGACACCCCAAACAACAGTATAAGAGTGTTCAAGCTCTACTTATTATCCGAGCCATTACATGGAAAAAAAAACTCATTTATAACTGATGTTTCAGTTTTCAAACAGTAATTAAGGCCTTAATGAACAGAGCACCGCCGCCCCGCCTCACGTCCCTGAGCTCATTTGCATGTTAATTATCATTAGCGTCATGAGGGGGAAAGAGACCGTAACAGCTAAATTAGCAGCTCAATCATATTTTTGGCTATTCAGAATGTCACCAAAGCACAACAGGGCATTTTATTCCAGTCCCCCTCCGTCTAACATTGTCTTTCTGCTCTCGTTTTATTTAGTTTTAAGACTTTTTAATTACGCTCACATTATTATTACTATTTTTCTAAATTAAATTATTCTATTTCAGAGGTTTCAGAAATAAAACTAAATACTTAGATTAATAATATTATATTAGAGATATACAAAGGTCACTTCTCACCCCTGAGTTTCTCTTTTCATGTGTATTGTTATTTATCTATTATTTTATTGTATTTATTTTATTTTTTATTATGTATTTTCCCTTAATGCAAACCCTGGCTTGTAAATAGTTGTTGCTAGCTATGTATGCTGGGTTTTTTCTGCAATAAATAAATAATCAAACACGCACACACACAAAATAAGTTTTCAGAAATAAATAATGTATTTTTCATTTATTTTACCGACTGATTACAAATGTTTTACCAATGCACTCCAAAATTAGAATAAAAAAAAAATAAAACATTAATAATTAAAATACCTTATTATTGTACTGAAATTATGTAATAATAATAATAGTAATAATAATGCAATTGAAAAAAAATTGTTATGAAAAAAAATTATGTCCTTTGCCGAATAAATTAATTAGATTGGTAGATTTTCTTGTTACTGATCCCTGACTAGTTTTACCAAAAGAGGGAGACAAAGCATTACATTTCACAGAACGGAGTTTCAACCCACATGAGACAGCTCTTGACATTTAAGAAGAAATCGGGTTTTTCTCATAAAACCAGCACATACTAATATGCAGATTAAAATTATTTACTTATGCGGACTTTGACTAAGAGTAGGCCTACGTTTTAAGAAATTGGATTATTTGAAGGTAGGCTAATAATTATTTCCCTGTAAATACGATTGCAGCCCTGTCACTCACATTAGGATTAAATGTTTACATAAAAAATAACCTTATGTCGTCGTAAACACGAATATGAAACCCCGCCAAAATTATACAATAGGCCCACATAATCAACTGTCAGAACGTCTTTCCGCCTTGTTGAATCGTATTTTACTTCACAATTATAAAAAAAAGTTTTTTCATCAAATGCGAATGAGATGCAGGCAAATTTCATAACTATGTTTATTATTCATACTTGATATGGTCTTATACCACTTTTTTTCTTCATATTTGCCAAACCAGTTTCCCCGCGAATAAAAAAAAGATATTGAGAATTTGTATCTCAGAATGGCGTGATACAAACTCGCAATTCAGATTTTTTTTTTCTCAGAAGTGTGAGATGTAAACTTGAAATTTCGAGTTTCTGAGAAATAAAGTAGCAGCTATTCTGATGTGGAAGTTCATTTTAGAAACTGTAGGCTGTGTTAGGTGTAATGAGTTTCAATGTAACAATTAAATTAGGCTTATACTTTTCTTCTGAAAAAGTAAAATAATTACTTCAGTAAGGAATTATTATTTTTAGGTAATTTATTTACAATTTCTTAAATTCTTTGACTGTAGTTTTCAACAGTTAAATCAATTCAAAGAAGGAATATTAATGAAGAGTTCAGATGTAAAAACCTCTAAGTGCGATCTGAAATCTTCTAAAATTAGCATTTTGCTCAAGCTCTTAGTTGAAGTCAGAATGATTAGCCTCCCTGACTTATTCACCCGCTTATTTATTTTTTCCCCAATTTCTGTTTAACAGAGAGGAGATTTTTTCAGCACATTTCTAAACATAATAGTTTTAATAACTCATTTCTAATAACTGATTTATTTTATCTTTGCCATGATGACAGTAAATAATATTTTACTGGATATTTATCAAGACACTTCTATACAGCTTAAAATTACATTTAAGGGCTTAACTAAGTTTATTAGGGTAACTAGGCAGGTTAGGGTAATTAGGCAAGTTATTGTATATCAATGGTTTGTTCTGTAGACTATCGGAAAAAAATAGCTTAAAGGGGCTAATAATTTTGTCCTTAAAATGGTTTTTAAAAATTAAAAACTGCTTTTATTCTAGCTGAAATAAAACAAATCAGACTTTCTCCAGAAGAAAAAATATTATCAGACATAATGTGAAAATTTCCTTGCTCTGTTAAACATCATTTAGTAAATATTTAAGGAAAAACAAATTCAAAGGAGAGCTAAAAATTCTGACTTCAGCGTATTTTTTGAGTAAGTAATTTCACTTTTATGGCAAATAATAGGTTATTTTCATCGCTTTTAGCATGGAATAACTGAACATAAACACAAGAGGATAAATTTAAGCAGTATTTAAGGATTTAAGCAGTACTGAGTCAAGAAATTAAATCACGTACTGAGTAATTAGGGTACTATTCAGACAAAGTATTTGGAAAGTCATTTAAATACAGCTTTAATTATGTAATTAATAATCAATGACTTTTTTGAAGTAACTAAACAATCCCTGACTGTGGGCTACATGAGCTAATCATCCACACATCATAATTGGTTTTGAATGAACCTGATTTCATAAGTTGTCATTGTTGCTGTTGTTATTTTTTTAATTATTATTCAATTAAATTATAAAAACAAACTAACAAATACAAATAAAATATAAATAGCTTATTCTTATTTTTAACTACGTAAAGAAGTCAAAACTTATTATAAAAATTATTATTATTATTATCTATTATTATTGTTATTATTTTAATTTGCATCTTTAAACGGTAGGTATCATAAAGGCTGTTATTATTAAAAAAAACACTGATTTGGGCATTATAAATGTGCATTATAAACACCAGTTATGTAGATATGTAGGTCGGAGCAACAAACCGAACAGCTCCAAGATCAAGATCACAGTGCTGTACATCAGCTCATATTTATATAAATACAATGCAGTCTTTGTGAGCTGAACATTTTGCTAAACCATACAGCATTCTCAGCTATTGTTAGAATTAATAAAAAATAGATTACATGTTATCATGTATTTTACCACCAGTAGACAACCCTAATTAAAAATAACCATAGTTTTACCTAAAAAAAAAAAAAAAAAAAAAAAAAAAAATATATATATATATATATATATATATATATATATATATATATATATATATATATATATATATATAAACCACTATTTTATTATATTACTTCATTTTAATAGTCTTGTTTCAGGCTTTGAAGTCTATTTCTTTATATATGTTAAAGTACTTATATCACAAAGTTAATCATGTACTTTCAATGTACGAAACTGCAACTGCAACTTCATCAACAAGGCATTTGCGTCCACAGAACTGCCACTCATTGGGTATTTTCTCTTTTTCGGACCATTCTCTGTAAACCCTAGAGATGGTTGTGTGTGAAAATCCCAGTAGATCAGCAGTTTCTGAAATACTCAGACCAGCCAGTC